TCAGTAGCTTCCTTCGATGTACTGGAGATCGCACTGAAAACGTTTCGAATTTGTACGAAATAAAATGTTCACATGAAGCTACACCGAAAGTCGGGGGGGGGGTAACATATGTACAGCCCCGCGCGCCTAACGGAGGAAGTTTTATTAACGCGACTAAACAAGGGGTTGGATCCGAGTTACGGTTCTGAAAGAACGCTCATCGGTTGATATGGAGTCAGTCATGATAGGAACGACCAATTAGAGCATGGAAGGCGTAAAAAGGCAGGATTTTCAAAGCCAATTAAAACACGCGACGCGAAATAATTTCTATTGTAATTCTGATAGTAATAATAATAATAATCACATTTAAAAATTAAAATGTCTTAATCATTTAATAATTTTAGCTCCTGGTCCTGTGGCCAATTTTGATGCTATACCAATGGGATCCAGTGCACTTTATCTTATTTGGAAGAAACCTTTAGAACCAAATGGCATTCTTACTGGTTATAAAATATATTATGAAGAAGGTAATAATATAACATTATATTATGAAATAGTTCATTATGGTGTTGTTGGAGTGTTTCCTACAATGCATATATACTAGTGCTAGACTTAATTCAAGACAATTATAGTTTAATAATAATAACAATAAGTTGAATGTATTATCATCATAACTTTGTTCTTTTACTCAATAAATTTTATAAGGATTTTTATTCTAAATTGTCATTTTAAATTGTTTTAATGAATATTCTGTAGTTTCCCATTTGAACAAAATGGGGAAGATGCAAATAATCAATTGATATACAGTCCTTTTATAACCAAATGTAGATAAGTGTGTAAAACCTTAAAAATCTATCACAAATATACATATACATGACTGTACATAGATGTACAGATGTAACAGTAGTCTTACACATGCAGCACAATACAATAATATTTACATATGGATTGATCACACAAAATAATTACTTTTGATCTGTGAATTAATTCTTCAAAAAATTAGTTTTATCACTGAGTTCAAAGTTTTGATTAATCTTTGCCGTTCGTATTTAACCCAACTTCTGATGCACGTGGATTACATATATAGTCCAACTTCTTTTTCATTGTTGGTTTCCACAATCGTCTAGGCTTATCATCTGTCTACAGTAGATTAGTGTTTCTCAACAGGGGTGATATTGCCCCATGTGGGCGTTTTTCTGTATTGGGGGCAATTAGTAACAATTTATATTTTGGGGTGAAAAAGAATTTTCTGGGTGATATAGTAAAGCATTATATTAAGAATAATTAAATATTTTATTTGTTATATTGTATAATAATTAAACAAATAACATTATACTAGTGACTAGNGGTTCAGACAAAGAAAATTATAGGAGGGTTTAGGGAAAAGAAAGTTCTAGATGGTTTTAGATAAAGAGAAAGGAAAGCCTAATACTAATATAACAAAAAAAAATTTAGGAAAATATAACATAACATGGCTGACGGCCACACAGTCAATAAAAGGGTCATTCCATGTCAAGTGATCAAGGTCGCCAGTTCAACCCCCTCAGATTTCAACGAAATTTGGCACAAAGGTAGCTAAGGACCTTAAACTAAATTATGCAAAATATTAGCCTTGTAATTTTGCATGGTTCCTGAGATATAAGCCCAAATGTGAAGACACTGTGCCACCTCTACATGTGCAGTGATTAAACAGCCAACTTTGTTGTCCGATGGTTCCTTGAATAAGAGCATTTACAGCATGAAACTTGATAGATAAGACAGTTTGAAGTGGACAGTTCAGATATGCTAACAAAAACTTCTAACAAAAAGTTTTCTGTTCACAAATCTTCACCAAAGTTTGAGTAAAATTCATTCTCATGAAACTGAAGACACATTTTAATTGACTGTAACTGAGGAAGAAAACATTCTTTTACAGCCAAACTTTGGATTTTAAACCTGTATAAGAAGTAAATTATTTTTGTAAAATTTTAAGCTTATAGCTGTCATAATTTTAGAAATATGTCCACTAAAAAATGAAAAAAGTTTAAAACTCAATTTTTACTAACATTCAGAGGTAAATATTGCCATTTGGGATTTCTTAAATTGTTTTCTTTTTTGTTGCATTAGAAAGAGCATCTTCTATAAAAATATATGATTTTAATTCTCTGCCCGACTGCTAAGGGCAAAAATATGGCATTAAACATCGTGATGTCTGAATAAAAACTTGAAGTTTATAGAATGCAATTTAGCCTGTTAGCTCACTGTGTGGTTGTTTTTATATAATTCAATTAAAAGATCTTGAATGTGCATGCCTGCTGAGCTATGCTCATCCAATATTAAGCAAAGAATTTTCAAGGATTTTAATTAATTTCCAAAAAAGTTTGATTATCATCTATAATTATATTTTTCATGATTTAGTTTAAAGTCCTTAAACTAAACCATGCAAATTTCATTGAAATCTGAGGAGGCTGAGAAGTTGACCTTGATCACTTGACTTGGAATGACCCAAAGATGACTCCATGAAAATCCCAAAAGCAGTTGCTATAATTCTTCTAGCTCAGGGGTCACCAAACATTTTTCACAGCGGGTCAGATAATTGAGAGAATGATGAGTGTGGGCCTTATAACCATTTTGTTCAGTACAGCACACTGAATACACAATAAATAAAGACAATCAGTATATGTATTTATCAATACACAAACACAATCACTGCAGCAAGCTTGCAATCACTTCCCTTAGAAACTTCATTGCAGGTACTTACACAAAAAGCACTCTGATATCCAAAGTCACAAAATGCTGCCAAATTTTTTATTTCACTGATTTATCTAAAAATTATATTACTGTCAGAAGCAAAAATCAGATTGGACCAATTTTGGCATTTTTACTTAAACTTACTATGTAAAAAAATTTAAATAAGTGTATCTACAAACTATGATATTTCTGTATAACTAATTATATTTTAGCTCATTTGTCACACAAATCTGGGAACGGGCTGGATGAACTGACCTTTTGGGCCGTAGTTTGGTGACCCCTGTTCTAGCTGACAAAACTGTTTTTGCCTTCTTTGAAGGTGGAGAATCTGTCCATTGTGTTGACTGTTCTTTGGTTCCTGGGTATAATGGTGGATCCAAGTTTTATCTATGGTTATAAATCAGTGCATAAATTCCTTTGATTTGATGAAAACAATTCAAAAGAAATAATTGCATAATTCAGTTTGCTCTGGAGATTTTGCTCAAACATAGCACTTGTGGTGAGTTTTCTCATCTCCAATTATTTTGTCAAAATTTTATATACACTGTCATTTGAGATGCTTAATATATCTGCTCTCTCATGCCCTTTTAATTGACAACCATTAAATTACTATATGATGAACTTTTTCTCTTGTAAGTTCTAATTCCCTCAACTCAAAGTTGAGTTAACAGAAATCCAATTCAAATGATAAAATGTATTTTTGAATACAACATTTTAGATTCCCATTACAAATTAGTCAATTCATCTTTTCATGACAATGAAGTATTAGTCTAATTTGCAAATTTTCTTACATGACAATCCTACCATCAGTAGACAGTCAAAAAAAGGGAGAGAAGACATTATAATGGGAGAAGTTCCTCAAATATTCATTTTGCATAATTGATGCAATGCTGCCTTCTCTGGTTGCCTTGTCAATTGTAGCAGAATCGATTAACTTTTGTATTTGACAAGACTACGTCTTATTTATAAAATTGTACTGCCTGCTGGGTAACCAGCTTAGAGGTATGAAGGAGTACATGTCAGGAGTTGCAATTTGGCACAGAGTATTAGGTGCCCAAATCATGCACGCATAAAAGAAAAACCAGACTTGTAGGTACTCAGGAAACTGAGAACTGAGTCAAAATAAAATTCAAATGGTGACACACTATAAATGGGCAGTAGTGCGAGATTTGTTCTTGCGTTGCTCGTTGGAAAGTTGGAAATGCAAACATTGCAAAATTGAATTTTGACAAACGTGTGTTGGAAGTTTGAAATGAGAAATCAAATTTTGACAAACAAATCTTTGAAAAAAATCCATTTACCTGTCCTGTGTTATTCCCAACATATCTCTGGTTGCAACGTGCTGACCTTGACCGGTTGACCTGAGATATCTCGTTTCAGCATTGGAACCTTTTTTCAAAGTATTACTTTTCAAAGTATTTATGTGCTAGTCATTATAATTTTATATTAAAACAACTTCTGAAATATAATTTGTTTTTCTACATTTATTAATATATATGTGACCGAAGGGTCGGCACCTCTTTGGTGCCCTGTCAGGATGACACCACCGCATCTCAACGGACATGGAAGCCGTGTTATTTAGATTACGCGAGCGGTCGTGTAACGGAGTGATCAGAGTCGAGATAGAAGGAGAGACAACGCATCGGAAGTGATTTACTCAGACGCTTTTTAACGTAACAACTGTTTAATGGTTAACTATAGGCTATACATTAGGGCTGCTGTTAGATACATCTCTCGATTTGATAGTATTAAGATATTAAGATATTATGTTTTTCCCCGATTTGAGAGAGAGAGAGTTTACAGAAGTTTCGCGTGGCGATAAATACCTTTTGTTTTTGCTGTCTTGATGGAGATTCTCAAGCGGTCTTGGTGAAGGGAAGAAAGTTTGGAATGTCAGTCCGGTAGAGGAAGTATCCGTAAGAATGATAGAACAGTATCCGCAAGGGTGTTAGTTGATGGTTCCGATGATCTTTTTGTAGGATATATTCGCAGATATCCGAATAGTGAGGCACTTAGGACAAGGTACTAGTGACAACTTCTCTTTTCAAAAGATGGGCGACGACTGCTACTTTGTTGTCTGTTTTTCATGTTGGATTGATGAAATGGAGATACAGTAGAACCTCGAAAACTCGGCCTAATGTGGACCGAAGGGTGGCCGAGTTTGTGAAAATGCCGGGTTATTGGGAATGGGGTTAAAAAAACTAAGTATGAGTGTTTCCTCAGAAAATACTGTACTGTATTTGTATGTATTGTTTACTTGAGAATACAACAGAGAATAAACTGCCCAAATACCCTTAAACAAAGGAAAAGTATGTCCTTTATGAAGGCATAGAGCCTTTACTACATGAAAATGAAAATTAATGAATACACTGTGTACAGTAATTTACCTGATAAGACAGACCTCAGAAAAATACTTTATGAGACATTTATACTTTTATAAAGCTGTCTATAATGAAAATTAATTAA